AGCAGCTTTATTCATAAAGCCTCAAACTGGGGTTAACCCAAATGTGTATCAACAGAAAAATGTTATATATGGGATGAGCTTGAAAGATGTCTCTAGGAATCTTCTATTTCTTGACTAGACTGGTAGCTGCAGGGAGGTTTGCTTTGTGATAGTTCACTGAGCTGTAAATTTAAGTTTCACTCACTTTTATTTGTGTAACACTTTATAATAAAAAGGTTTAAATACAAATAAAAGGCACCGTAAGATCACTGATACCCAGGTACAAAGGCCTACTAGAGTGTGTGCCCTATTTGTTTAAGTCACAATTCGAGAACCAATTCAACTTGTCAGCTTCCTCAGGGAGTGTGGGCAGCCAAAGCGCAGGCCTAGAGGAGCCACTCACATTAGATTCATTAGCTACATCCACTCAAGAAGACCTTGGTAACATCTTGTCTTGGGACCAGGGGGTTGCAGTGTTTAGAACAGAGGATTAGCAGGAGATACCACCTTCCTTTTACATTTCTTGCCTCCCAACAAAAAAGCCACAAAAGAGAGAGAAAAACCTATTCTTATCACAGAAGCAGTCAGGCCTTCCCAGAAGCCTGGCCCACATCTAAGACAGCCCGGGATGCCACGGCACTCATGTCCTGAGCTCAGTGAAGAGCAGACGAGCACAATGAAGCCAAGTGTCCGCAGAGATGCCAGCAACTGTGCCTGAGACTTAGTACATAGACGTGGACAAGAAAAGAGGAGCAGAGGGTAGGAAGATGCTATGCCTTTTATGTGACTTAGCTGCAATCATCTCTGCCATGCTTATTTATTGCCTGCCTTTTATTCACAGGTATGCTTTATTCTATATGGCACACATTGTCCTAGACACCAAGAATATAGTGAGGACCGAAAACGACATGGTCTCAGCCCCATAGCTTAGGGATTAACACGCAAATGTGTATTTATAAATGGTGAAAAGCTATTTAGAAATAAAAGAAGGTGCCATGAAAGAGAATAAAAGGAAGGGTCCTTCACAAGAAAAAGTGCTCAACATCGCTCGGCATCAGGGAAATCCAAATCAAAACCTCAATGAGATACCACCTCACACAGTCAGAATGGCTAAAATTAACAAGTCAGGAAACGACAGATGTTGGTGGGGATGCGAAGAAAGGGGAACCCTCCTACACTGTTGGTGGGAATGCAAGCTGGTGCAGCCACTCTGGAAAACAGTATGGAGGTTCCTTAAGATGAAAATAGAGCTACCATACGATCCAGCAATTGTACTACTGGGTATTTACCCCAAAGATACAAATGTAGGGATCCGAAGGGGTACGTGCACCCTGGTGTTTATAGCAGCAATGTCCACAATAGCCAAACTGTGGAAAGGGCCAAGATGTCCATCGACAGATGAATGGATAAAGAAAATGTGGTGTATATACACAATGGAATATTATGCAGCCATCAAAAGGAATGAGATCTTGCCATTTGCAACGACGTGGATGGAACTGGAGGGTGTTATGCTGAGTGAAATAAGTCAATCAGAGAAAGACATGGATCATATGATCTCACTGATATGAGGAATTCTTAATCTTAGGAAACAAACTGAGGGTTGCTGGAGCAGGGGTGGGGTGGGAGGGATGGGGTGGCTGGGTGATAGACATTGGGGAAGGTATGTGCTATGGTGAGCGCTGTGAGTTGTGCAAGAATGTTGAATCACAGATCTGTACCTCTGAAACAAATAATGCAATATATGTTAAGAAAGAAAAAAAAGAAGAAGAAGATAGCAGGAGGGGAAGAATGAAGGGGGGTGGAAATCAGAGGGGGAGATGAACCATGAGAGACGACGGACTCTGAAAAATAAACTGAGGGTTCTAGAGGGGAGGGCGGTGGGGGGATGGGTTAGCCTGGCGATGGGTATTAAAGAGGGCACGTTCTGCGTGGAGCACTGGGTGTTATGCACAAACAATGAATCATGGAACACTACATCACAAACTAATGATGTAATATATGGTGATTAACATAACAATAAAAAATTTTTTTAAAAAAAGGAAGGGTCCTATTAATATGGTTTGAGCTTTGAGTCTACTGAGCCAGACTCATTTTCTTATTCTTTTGAGATTTCAGGTATCTGAAACAATGGCTAAAAAGAGTGTTTGCCTAGTTAGAACAAAAATGACTGAAAAGCATCCATTTGCCATTTACTGCATCCTGCCTTACTGACTTACCCATATGTCAGTTGTCTGCAACAGGTCAATTAAGAACTGCATTTTTTTACTGTTACAGTGACTGCGTGGGGTGGCAGCATCAGCAGCATTTCCAGTTGCTGGATGTCCTACAATATGCAGGATGGGACAGCATGATCAAGTGTTCCGTGTACCACATAACTTCTGGATGTCTGCCAGATATTCATGTGGGTGGAAGCCTGTTTATAATCATCTGAGGCTAGAATCTAAGTCCATTTTCCACTGAAACACAAAGTATTTTTTGTATTGTTTTTCATATACTGAATGTTCCAATACTGAGTCATTAATATAACATACCTGTATCATTGTGGCATTCATATTTGTGTCAACATCTGACTAGTTCATTACGACTTTTAGTGCAGTAATAGCTGTGAATTTACATAGCAACATACCTATTTTATTATAAATTACTTTTATTTATTCTTTATATTCTGTTTATGATATTACATTGACTTTTTTTCTAACATGTAGGTAGGGGAGAGTATCTCTGAATTTTAGTTCAAGACAGTGAAGAAGGCATTATACAATATTGGTTACAGGTCTCAGTATTGGGTCTCAGAGGGTTGAGAATATAGGTCCTACTTCTTCATTAGACAGAAGCTCCTTAAGGATACAGGCTAGGTCTCATTTATCTTCCCTTTGGTACCTGCTATAGCAGCTTAAATCGATGACAAACATTCGCTAATTTACTAAAATCACACAGAAAACTCATGTCAATAAGCAAAATTCTCTGAGCTTTCATTTTCTGGGACTATAAATACTACTCAATAAACTATAGGGAAATCTCCCTTTCCCGTCTAAAGAAAGTTACTTGGTTTCTCCATGACTTATTTCAACATATAATGAGATCATTTTAACAAACTAAGTTTCCTTTAAAGTAAGTAAGTAATGTTACAAATTGCACAATGCAAAGGAGAGTTTTTTAAAATTCCAAGATGCTTAAGGGCAGGAAGGAAGGGAATGTTTAAGTACAGCTGACTCTTGAACAACACAGGGGTTAAGGGGCACGGAACCCCCATGAAGTCAAAAATCCATGTATAACTCTTGACTCCCCCAAAATTTAACTACTAATAGCCTGCTGTTGACCAAAAGCCTTGCCAAAAACATAAACAGCTGATTAACACATATTTGTATATTATATATATATATACTCTATATTATATATATTATATATATTACTCTACATTCTTAGAGTAAAGTAAGCTAGAAAAAAGATGTTACTAAGAAAATCATAATGAAGGGGCACCTGGGAGGCTCAGTCAGTTAAGTGACTGACTCCTGATTTCGCCTCAGGTCATGATCTCAGAGTCATGAGATCGAGCCCTGCGTGGGGCTCTGCACTCAGCACGGAGTCTGCTTGAGATTCTCTCTCTCCTTCCTCTCCTCCCCCTGCTCATAAGCACACACTCTCTCTCTAAATAAAATCTTTAAAAAAAAATCATAAGGAAAACCCATTTACAGTACTCCATTGTATTTATTTTAAAACTCCATGTATAAGTGGACCCACACAAGACAAACTTGTGCTGTTCAAGGGTCAACTGTATTTTCATCACCTTGGTCTTCTTCTAGTATCCCCTACTCAATGAATTGCACCATCACATAACCAACTTTAAAACCTAGAAACCTAGGTCATGGTTGACAGTGTCCTCTCCCTCACCACCCCATCCCATCGAGCAGTCTTACCAATTTTACTTCCTCACCATTCTTCCGATTATATAGGTACTGGCATATACTTTAGTATACTCTGGAAATCTCTGACATCCTCCTATTGTCCTATGCCTCTTTAATCCCTTAAAAGCTTTCTGTTGAAAATTATGGTTGGGTTTCTATTAAGTGAGGGTCTTCTATTATTTCCTAATAACAATAATTTCAAAGATAATTCAACATCTATTTTTTTTAAACTCAACATAAATCAGATTTATCTTTTGATTATGTTGCTTTATTAATCAAGTAAGATACTACGTTATATACAAATGTTAACAAGACAAGTGAAGCTACTATGACCAAGAAGAAGGTTGGTATGTAATATATATTAAGGACACTCAACACAAAAACATAGGAAAGCCAGATGCTGGACTGGCTAAATTAAAAAGAGGTAACATTAAACACAGGCAAAAACAAAACAAGCAACAACAACAAAAAAACAACAATTCACAATTGATGACATAAATATGTAGGTGAGCCGACTGTACAGAATGGCAAAGGCTGTATTAGGAAGAGCATCACACCCTGAGAATTGCTAGGAAACCATTTCACTTATCTATCCTTACTTAAAGTAGTAAAAGAAGGAATGGTACAAAAATCAAGGTAGGCCCCCGTGAGTTCTATTTTACTTCCAGAGAAATAGTTTTCCCTCTGTCATATTTTTTTACATACTCCAAAAGCAGAGGAACATGATTAGTTGTAAAGCACTAAACCTGGTTCATTTCAACAGCTAAGAAGTAGTTGTAAAAAAGTAAGTCAATAAACAATGACAAGACACAGGTGAAATCCCTAATTCTTAGCTATAAATGTTTTTTTGGCAAGAGAATTATCTGGAAGAACTCTGAACATGAAAAAAACTGATTACAGGAAAAGAGGCAATTATGATGAATCTTTATTAACAAACTCATACCAAATAAGCAAAAATGTGATTAACAACTTTCAATCCTATTAACCCAAGGAAATGTACTAAGAACTGTAATAATCACTGGTAATATCCAGTGAGAGATTTATTTTAAAATTCTGAATTCACAGAAACTTTCTCTACATGTTAAAAAAGACGACTACATTAGATGAACATCATACCGTAAGGTTTTTCTTCTGTTACTTTCCCAGTAGAATCTAGTGTGTCAGTAGCTTTCCCCAGTTCTCCAATGGCAATATACCTCTAGAGGAAGAGAAGCAAGGGAGAAAAATAAGCCATAAGGTAAAGAAAAAAACTGTTACGTATGTCTTAAAGTTTTATACACAATTTCACTAATGCTACCAACTTGACACAAAATAAAGGCAAAAATAAGAGACTGCAGCTGTTTTGTTTATTTTTGATATGTGGGAAGCGCTTGTGTAAACCGCGGAGCATTCACAAACTTTCCACACCAGCCAACATGACAAAGAAAAGCCTGATTTTATTGACAATTATGGCTTATAAACACAGTTATTACAAACATATTTCTAAAACCAGTTTTGTACTAGGCAGTTTTGACTCTGAAGGAAAAATTTCCAATATGCTTATGAGTAGAGAGAATGATACAATAAATTCCTACCTGGCCATCACAAGACTCAACAATTTTACCACACATACAATTAAAATTAATTTAAAAATAAAATCAATTTACTACTTCTTACATGAAATACTACGACTAATCTCAGTAACTTGATTAGATATTTCAACAAAAGCTAAATATGTAGAAAGTGGACCAAACTAGTAAAGTGGAGGTACTGTACTTAATATTACATGTGTTTTCTTAATAGAGAAATAGCTACTTCTTGAGTTCTCTGAAAGGAAAAAAGTCACTTTTAAGAACTGATCATTTATTCATAAGTGAAGAATTAGAGCATTCATAGTTAACTGAGGACTATTTTACTCTCACCTCAGGGCACACTTGTATTGCATATTCTTTTTTTTTTTTTTAAGATTTATTTATTTATTTGAGAGAGAGAGAGCACACAAGCGGGGAGAGGGGCAGAGAGAGAGAAGCATACTCCCCACTGCTGAGTGCGGATCTTGACGCGGGGCTCAATCTCAGGACCCTGAGATCATGACCTAGCCTGAAATCAAGAGTCTGACGCTCAACTGACTAAGGCACCCAGGTGCCCCTGTATTACATATTCTTTATACTGCTCTCTTTTGGTCAAATTCAAGTTTTACTTGGAACAACACATGAAGCACTGAGAAAAATGCAAGGAATATAATTCCCACTGAAAATAATCTGTAGTTATGTGGACATTTTTTTAAAGAGGAAGCCAAAGTACTTTGCAGAAAGGTGTTTATTAATGACAAGTTTATTACGCTAGTGAAGGAACCAGAGACAAAAATGAGAAAAATATTAAAACTTCATATTCCCATAAACAAGCATTTTATACCAGCTTAAGTGCCCATTGATGAAATCATCTTCTATTATATAGCTCAAAATAACTTTTTTAGGATTTATTTATTTTTAGAGAGAGAACAAGCAGGGGGAGGAAAAAAGGGAGAGGGAGAGACTCTCCAGCAGGCTGCGCACTGAGCACAGAGCCCAACATGGGGCTGCAGGAGCCTTGTTGTCCTTAAGATGGAGATAATAGTACCTCAGGAGGGCAGAGCCGAAAACAACAATAGCTGGCCATGGTAAGCAACACTGAACAATACTATCATCATTATTATTTAAAAAAAAAAAGATACAGAATGATTTACAGTTAACAGTGGTTATAGTGAGTTCCCATAAGAAACAATAAAGCAAGAAAATGCTCTGATTTTTGCCTTAATCATCCATCTTGTTGCATGAGAAAAACAATCATGTATACTATGCCTTGAAAATGTTTGCGCTATCCTATGTAACAAGTTTTATTTATTTATTTATTTTTAAAGATCTTATTTATTTATTTGACAGAGAGAGACACAGCGAGAGAGGGAACACGAGCAGGGGGAGTGGGAGAGGGAGAAGCGGGCTTCCCACCGAGCAGGGAGCCCCATGCGGGGCTCGATCCCAGGACCCTGGGATCATGACCTGAGCTGAAGGCAGACGCTTAACGACTGAGCCACCCAGGCGCCCCCTGTGTAAAAGTTTTAACCAGGAACCTTTTAATCTTGGAACATGCTTTCCAAGTATGCAATGTTCATTCTCCACTCCGGACTCCAGGGGTTCTTGCACATGCTACCTCCCTAGCCCTGAGCTTCCTCTCTTTTCTAAGAATCAAACCCTACCCACTGTTCATCTTTCAAAGCCACCTTTTAATTCATCTCAACTTCCAATCACCTACCTGGCACAAAGCTAAGAGTAGGTGCTCAATACAAGTTTCTTATATAAGAATGAAGGCCTATATCAAACCCACATCATGTATTCACTCATTCATTAGTGTGTGCTTTCATTCAATCATGTTTCTTAAGGACTGTGAATGTGCAACTTATTTTCCTAGGTGCTTGTGAGAAATACAAAGATATATATTGATCCTTATCTTCTCCAATTACAAACTGCTAGCTTGGATTTTGCATTGCTGTTCTATTGTGTTTTTTACTAAATGGAAACATGGTAGCCACTTAATAAAAAGTTGATAAAGTTATATACATGCTGGAGAAGTTCTTATCTGTGCAATTCTTCACATTTCACCATAGTTTGGGACATCCAGATTGTATCTGCCAAGTTTCAAATCCTTCCAGGTTCTGTGCTTATGCTGAATCTGGCTATATGCTGGATTTTTTTTTAAGGGAAATAATACCTAAATAAGCAATTCTCAAACACTGTGGTTTTAAATGCCTATATACCCTTGAAAGTTATTTAGAAACCTTAGCCTTAGAAACCTTAGAAAAAAAACAATTTTTTTTTCCATATGAGTTCTATCTGTTGATACTTATTGTGTTAGAAATTAAAACACAAAAATGTTTAAAACACTGATATACACGCACACATTCCATTAACTATCAAAGCCATGCTATCAGTCAGGTAACCTCTGAAAAACTCCACAATATGCTCATTGGACTGCAAAGCTATGAAAACAGTTTTGACTTCAACAGACCCCTGAGAAAGCCTCAGAAGTCCCTGGACCATACTTTGTGAACTGCTGATCTAAATCATAGCTGTTTTCTAGCTCTCCCTTGTCTTGGCATCTAATGATAATAATCTTTTAATTCTAGTCAACGGTCCACAAGCGGGGTGCCTCGGTGGCTCAGCCATTAAGCATCTGCCTTCAGCTCAGGTCATGATCCCAGGCTCCTGGGATCGAGCCCCGCTTCGGGTTCTCTGCTCAGCAGGAAGCCTGCTTCCCCTCTCCCACTCCCCTTGCTTGTGTTCCCTCTCTCACTGTCTCCCTGTCAAATAAATAGATAAAAATCTTTAAATGGTCCACAAGCTACTTAGAAAAATCCGCCCAGACAGGTAAGCCTCCAAGAGAAATAAAACCTCACCACCAGGAAGATATGGGTTAGAAGAAAAAAGACATGGGAATGTGTATACACACACCACCATTTTATCCTATGGGGTCTAAAGTATTTCTGTTTACTGACCTAAATTCTACACAGAGACAGGACGCATACTTGGTAATTCTGAATTCTATTAAAGTATTCATTACAACATAATTTGACTACAACAAAACAAATGGAGGGCCTATGGAATTCTTAAAGAAGTTTCCAGTGAACTGTGTGTTCTTTGGGATTCATGGTTTCTCTCTGCTACTAATACCACTCTACTCTCTACTCATCTTCAAGTTCCCTGAACCCCACAGCAAGATACTAGAGCTAGACAGCTTTAAGAGCAAATTGGCTTCTGTAGTCCTCAGGAGAAAGGAAAATATTTTTATGTTACAAAAAGGATACATAATCATTTCCATCTCAACTAGGCAACAACTGCTTTTTCCGAGGATTGATTTGAAAGCTTGTGATCAAAGTTTCACAAACAAAGGAATATTATTTATGATGAGGAAGAACATTTTTTTAAAAACCTACCAAACCAAGAACATGTGACTTCAAATGTCTTCATTAAAAAAGGAATAGCTCTTTACAGATCATAAGTGTAAGCCCTTCAAATTTTCAATATAGTCCTTATGAAATGTATGAATATTAATAGAGCGTAAAGACAAGGTACAAACTGGCCTAGCCTCTGGAGAAAACAACAGAAATGTGCAAGTCCTGGAGAGTTGGCTTATATTTCACAGGAGCAATATGCAAGTCACACTCCAGAGTTGCCATTGACTGGTTAACCTCAAAATGCTACTGTATAGTTGGGGGAAGGTTACTGTCTTTTGAACACATCCAGGGTGGAAAAGTTTGGATACCCCAACAATAATATTTGTTCAACTGTTGGAGGGATACAAAGCTGCTTTCTGAAGAAATGCTGGCTTTGCCTATAGGTACCACTTCGGTTTATCTCTACAGAGATGGGGGAGTGGCCTTACATTTGGAAAATGCTGGTTAGTCTTTATATGGCATCAGTGATTTCATAATAGGACATCAACCCTTCCATCTGCTCATGTGGTTTCTAAAGCACATATAAGTAACTGACTTTAATCAGCAATATAGGAAGCTAATAAAGGTAGTACTACAAAATCTCATCAAAGTTTGTTACTTCTAAGTACATCTGCTTAGTGATTGGCTCAAAGAAAGTATAATTTAGGGAAGCTGGTAGAGGGACCATGCAACCACTGCCTTCTTCTAGGTATTTAGACCAAGTTAGGCCAAAGGGACATATTAGCCTAACTTCTCTCAGAATTATCTAAGTTACATTTTATATAGATGCACTTCTATATCTGTTATAAAACTATTTTTGAGAACCACTGTCTGTCATGCAATATCCCTCACACTAAGAAATTTTTTTCTCACTTTAACGCCCAGAGAAACTGTTTCTCCCTAAAGAACTGGCAGGGGATGCTTCCTGTTTCTGATGAGTGCCATGTTTTGCCTTGGCTACCAGAAAAAATAGATAGGAAAAAGGAATGAAATTAACTGTACTCAAGGTTTCCAACAGAACTTGCCTAGATAATATAAATATCAGTGTCTATGGAACATGTAGTTCGAGAGATCCAATAGGCCTGGAACTCAGGAGAGAGATCAGGGGATACACAAAACACTTGGGAATACTAGTATTACTGATACTTGAATAACATGGGTTTGAACTGCGTGGGTCCACTTATATGTAATTTTTTATAGTACAGTACTGTAAGTACGTGTTTTCTTCTTCATGATTTTCTTAATACCACTTTCTTTTCTCTAGCTTACTTTAAGAATACAGTATAAAATTCAAATAACATACAAAGTATGTGCTAATTGACTATATATGATATCAGTAATGTTTATGATAAACAACAGGCTATTAGTAAGTTAAATTTTTAGGGAGCCAAAGTTGTATGGTGACTTTTGACTGTATAGGGGGTCAATATCCTTAACTTCTGCATTTTTCAAGGGTCAACTCTTAATAGGATTTATCGATCAACTTCTGTACCTAAGGCATTATATAGAAAACCTAGATGCTTTTTATACACATTATAAATGTAACCCAATAGAACATGCAGTGAAAAAAAAATGGCTCAAGAGAAACGTGATCACTGGCAAAGCAAAAAGTACTACAAGATAGAAGAAGCAGTGAAGAACACAGAGCGAGACTCTTAGATCGTACAATGATCTGAATCAGAAGGAATGCAAGAAAGGAGTTGGGTGGTTTAAATGGTCTCTGGTCTTCAAAGAATGGAACCAAATCACCTGATGGGATAAAGATTTTATTAAAAAGGTCAGCACTCCACCCATTAATTGGTAGTGGCTGTATGAAGTGGCAATTATGTTGAAATGAATTCTAAGGATGTTTCTTGGTTCAGCAGGAAAGAGTGTTAGGCCATGTTCAATTAGCAATGTCTCTAATCAGGACTGGATGGTGAGGGAGGGATGCACTGTGATATGGCTGTAATGGGAACACCGAATATCTGCCAACCAAGAACAAAATAATTCTACTCTTGAGGTAACTCTACCCTACACATACTGTAAGATGAATTTTTCTAGTGGCATTGTGATGTAAATAAAATTTGTCTGTAAAAGTAGAAAGTAGAGAAGGAGTAAACATTAGGTCCAATGGTAGGTCTGGTAGGTCCGTGCCTAGTTTGGAGGCTGCAGGCACCAATATTTTTTAATGAAGTAGAAGGAAAAATATCAAGAGTACATTGTACATAGGGTTAAGGCTCTTTGACAAAATTTTTCTTTTTTTAAGATTTTATTTATTTATTTGAGAGAGAGAGACCAAGCGCCTGCACAAACTGGGGAGGGGCAGAGGGAGAGGGAGAAGCAGGCTCCCCGCTGAGCAGGGAGTCCAACCCAGGGCTCAATCCCAGGACCCTGAGATCATGACCTGAGCCGAAGGCTTAACCAACTCAACCACTCAGGCGCCCCTGAAATTTTTGGTTTTTATATGTGTATGTGTATATAGGGTCACAATGTAAAATGAATTTCTTACTAGGGGTCTTGGTCAAACAATTTTTGGAAGCAATCTCTAAGATTCCTTCCAGTGCTAAAGACAAAATCTATTTTTAAAAATTCATTAAAAATTTTTAACTACTTTTGATAAAAATGTAATATTCCACATAGTTAAATTTAAATGACTTAATTTTTTAAACAGATACATAATCTAAAATTAAAAGTGTAAGAAAAACAAATGGCTAACAAGATAAAAATGCCTATTTTTGAAATGTGAAGCATCCAAGAACTAGGTTTCTGTAATAAGATGCACCTGGGATTTTCTATTTAGGATACAGTCATCTGAGGATCAGTGACTTCACTGTATGACATTCAGCTTTCCGAGCTGAATACCAAAATGGTTCGTGATAAATAAAGCTTAAACTACAGCCAATGATGTATTTACATTTCCGGTCATATTTCTGGAAATATGCCTGGAATTTATATGTAAAACCTTTCAATAGAGTGGTGTATTTGTGGTTTTGGGAGGAGGGGAGAGGTGAATAATGAATAATCCAGTGAATGTCACATCTTTTATCTTGGAGAAAAAGAACAAATCCTTAATGCAAACATATCTTGTTGGTTATTATTATAAGAGTGATTTGTTCATTGTCAAGATTTTAGAAAATACTAAATAATGTGAAAAGAGAAAAAAAAAATCATCCATAATTCTGCATCAATGTAACCACTGTCTATACTTCGGAAGAAGTAACAAATATTAAGAAGAAACAAATATTAAGCAAATGGCAAAACCCTGTATCAGAGAAAAATTCTAAACGCCATGTATAAGTATTTAAGCACAATGTACAAATTTAGCAAAACACATCAAACCCTGCCATTCTAACACAATTCTTGTATTCTGTGATTTTTCAACACCAACATTTTAAAGATTACGCAGCAAGACACACTGAAATTTTTCCATGTATCTAAGGTATTAAGATCCTTTCCAACTGAAAGATACAGGTTTCTATTCCAACTGATAACTAAAATGGGATGTCAAAGACAGTATGTTCTCGAGGGCTTTTTATTTTAAGAAAAGCATACTTAGACCACTGCCACTCAAAGTGTGCTCCATGAGCCAGCACCTGCAATAAGATAAGCTCAGAAAATGAGGGTGTTTAGAAACTTGTTAGCAATCTGATGTTACCATAGCATTTAAATTATATTTTACAAAAGTCATTAATCTGCAATAAGCTGGAAGTTTTTTTTTAAATGGTCTTTGACCATATATACATTTTAAGAAACAATTTAGACAAGTTCACTTGACCAATTAGTCATATCCCACTTAAAGGAAGGGTTTTAATTATGCTGAGAGAAATAAGTCAATCAGAGAAAGACATGTATCATATGACTTCACTGATATGAGGAATTCTTAATCTCAGGAAACAAACTGAGGGTTGCTGGAGTGGTGGGGGGTGGTAGGGATGGGGTGGCTGGGTGATAGACATTGGGGAGGGTATGTGCTATGGTGAGAACTATGAATTGTGTTAAGACTGTTGAATCACAGACCTGTACCTCTGAAAGAAATAATACATTATATGTTAAAAAAAAAAGCAGATAGTAGGAAGGGTAAAATGAAGGGGGGGAAATCGGAGGGGGAGACGAACCATGAGAGACTATGGACTCTGAGAAACAAACTGAGGGTTCTAGAGCGGAGGGGGGTGGCGGGATGGGTTAGCCTGGTGATGGGTATTAAAGAGGGCACGTACTGCATGTAGTACTGGGTGTTACACACAAACAATGAATCAGGGAACACTACATCAAAAACTAAAGATGTGGGGTGCCTGGGTGGCTCAGTCGTTAGGCGTCTGCCTTCGGCTCAGGTCATGGTCCCAGGGTCCTGGGATCAAGCCCCGCATCGGGGTCCCTGCTCCATGGGAAGCCTGCTTCTCCCTCTCCCACTCCCACGGCTTGTGTTCCCTCTCTTGCTGTGTCTCTCTCTGTCAAATAAATAAATAAAAATCTTAAAAAAAAAAAAACTAATGATGTAATGTGTGGTGATTAACATAACATTAAATAAATAAATAAATAAAGTTAGTCCAGGAACTTGCTTAAATTCTTCTCTGCCTCCTGCATAAGCATTTTCACTGGTCCCTAGCCACAAATGTTATAACCAGCACCTCACTGCCAATTAGAATACAGATATGACTGTCTCTCTTAGAGCTGCAAGAGATCCTAGAGGGGATCCAATCATTCTTCCTAAGGAAAAACCGAGAGGCCCACAGAGAGGTTAACCCCTTTGACACATTGACCTCTGTTACCCTGCTGTTTTGCAGGAGGGTTCTCACTGACGGCCTGAAGCTATCCACAGCTCTCCCTGTCCCTGCATAAACCTTCTTCTCTTTCAAGTGCCTTAAAAAGTGCTTTTTGATTCAGCCAAGGTTACTCTCATAGAGGAATGATGTAACTTATCATCCCTAAAGAAGCTTCACTTGTCTTCAGTAAACATTTTGTAACCAGTGAACACAGCAGGTCTTTTGCTGAAAAGTGTATGGGTTATAAAATGGTATTTTCTTTTTTTTTTAATGGTATTGTTTTTATAAAAATTCCAAGGTTTAAAAAAAAAATCTGCAAATAGAATTTATGATCTGTAAGTTCTCGTTCATCCAAGAAATATATAGGGCGCCTGGGCGGCTCAGTTGGTTAAGCGACTGCCTTCGGCTCAGGTCATGATCCTGGAGGCCCGGGATCGAGTCCCACATCGGGCTCCCTGCTCAGCAGGGAGTCTGCTTCTCCCTCTGACCCTCTTCCCTCTCGTGCTCTCTATCTCTCATTCTCTCTCTCTCAAATAAATAAATAAAATCTTTAAAAAAAAAGAAATATATAAAAAGACAATATAATTTTTAAAATGATAAGCACTGCAGAGTTTTTGCTTCTATAAATCAATTTGTTGAAGAATTTCCAATTTATAGTCTCAATATTCTGAATCTCAGCTATCAAGACAAATGCAATTAATACTCAGGAATAACACCTGTAAATGCAATGTACACAATTTTTTAATTGATTAAAATCCAAAACATAGTTCACTAAGAAAAACATTCAAGAGAAAAGAAAAAGTATTCCAGTGTTCTTACCTTGGACCCTGACAACATACTGGTCAACATTTTTGTTCCCCTTCCAATTCCAACCACTATAAATCAAAGAAAGAAATATTATGACACTCTATTATGAAAACTAGATTTTTGAAATATCTATATATTTTGGTCATAATTTCCTGGCACAAGTAACATGAAGTTGGAAAGAACATATACTTAGCATAACTAGAGGGTTCCTATTACTCCAATCAGTTGAACTTGTCATGCAACTTAGAAATTCTGAAGAGAGGATGGGAGGGACACTTTGTTTTTTCTCTCAAAGTGTTAAACACGATAGAAACCTCAACCCAGACAATTACATAATGAAAAGTTCTAGAACAATCTCAGAGGACTAACTGGAATTTTATATATGGATCAGTGAAAAATATACAGTACAATTTAACCACAGTATGATAAAGCCTTTTGATAGAGCTCATTATCAAACAAAACAAAAACCATCATCATAACTAATGAACCATTTAAAAATGATTAGTGTCCAGCAGTATACAATCAAGAAAACAGAAGCATAACAGATCAACCAAACACAAAGAAGAATACAAGGTAAAATGAGAGCTTGGAGAATGTATGTTCACATAGACCACATATTAAGTACAACAATGCCCCGCCTATCTCTTCAACTTCAAAGATCATTTATCCTTATGACAATACATTTCACCAGGAGAGAATGAGAGTTTACAATCATTTCTTCACTTAACAGAAAGCAAATTTTTATAAGAATTGAAGTATTTCTCATCAATGGATACGATTTCGTAAAAGAACACAGTATAAACACCACAATTCAGAATTACGAGAAAAAAACAAGAAATGACTGACCAGCTAAAAGAATTATCATGAATATTTACAGCAGATATCATTCATTGAGTTTACCATGTATCAAATTCCACTCTAAATGCTTTCCATTCATTAGCTCATTTAATCCTTATAACAATCCTAAAAAATAATACAATTATCCCTATTTTATAGATGAGGAAACTCAGACAGAGAGAGACTAAGAACTTTGCCCATCATCTAACAACTTGTATATGGTGGAGTCAAAATTCAGACCAGACTAACAGTAGACCCCCTTCCTCTTTATCCTTCTGCCACCTTACTCACCTAGGCTTTCTTCCCACTGGCATAAGCCTAAATTAGCCTAAACCACTACTAACCTGACTGTTCTACATTCGATCCCTTTCCCTTTCGATTCATACCATTTTATAACCATTTCTGATTACCTGTACAGCACACTACAAAGCCCCACAATCCTCAATAGGGTCCCAATACCTATAGTACCAACTCTCTAGTGTTCAAAATCCATCCTTCGAAACCCAGCTCAAAATCTCAACCCCCACATTAAGTCATCCCAAACCCTCCCTAAGCTTCTATGATAGAGTCATATTAGTTCAAAGACTAAGATAAAAACAACTGTCTGCCTTTAGTATCCTAGGTTGAGCATCATACTCTTCAAATGATAGCTGCTACTGTCCAGGAAAAAAACTTTATATAATAATAACCAAGATTCAACACAATTTTGTTCCATTCAAGAATCCCCAGTCAATATTTCTGGAACAGCTACTATGTACACAGTCCCAAGAACAATACTTTTAATGAACAGAACATTTCCTGACTTTGAAAGAGTTTATAACCTCATGGGGAAAATAAAATACAGATAAGGGAAATGGCAAGTGCTCAAAAAAATAGTGCATGAATTAATGAGTGACTAATGCTAAATAGCAATAAGATAGTATATGAGTAAGAGTCAAAATGAACACAGAATAATTGCTGTACGAGGTCAAAGGGAGTACTCTAAATTGCTAGAGGCCAGATAATGCTCATTCAAGCTTTTCAAACAGAGCTTGAGATAGGCCTTAAAGGATGTTTAGAATTTGAACATACAGAGAAGAGAGAACCATGTTCTAAAAAAGGAACAAACTGCACAAATACTCAGATGCAAGAATGAGCACAGTGGGTTTATCAACCAGAGGGCAGGTGTCTTAGAAGAGGCTGACATGTTTGACTTTATCATGGTTGAAACACTGATTTCACTGCTAGGTCAGTGATCCAGAATGACAGAATTTGAATCAAGAAGGCATTTTAAAGCTATCCAGCTTAATCTTCTCATTTTATATCCAAGAAAACCAAAGCCCACTGAAGTCAGGTGACCCGTGAAAGCAGAATTCTAGGCAGACTACTACAAAAGTGGAATGTAGAAAGATTATCTGGAGTTGAGGCCCAACCAACCAGTGGCTTTTCATTCAAGGGACAGTTTACTAGACAGAATTTTTACTCAGCTTTTTCTCATTCAATCATTCAACATCTTATTCAGTACTTATTATACAGGCACAGAACTAAGTAAGACCTGGTTTCAGCCCTTCGTGAGTTAATGTTAGAATAGAATGAAATTTTACACTAGCAGCGTAAAAGAGCAAAGGTGGACAGGCTACCCATGTAGGAGAGAGCATTTCAGCCAAATCTGGAAAGGTCAGTAGGATTTCTAATGCTAAAGAAGACAGAGATGAGCAGTTTGTCTGAAAAGAAAGGCATGAACAGAGACACAACAGTTTGAAAAGTGGGAAGAACTGGGAGAATGAATGAATAACAGGTTTTGCCAAGCACTGTCTCACAATGACTACTCTCTTTCTCCATCTCCCAAATTTTCTGTGCTCAAATGTCTCTCTGTAAAAAAATCCACTATCTCCAAATCTATCCAAATGTCCCAGTATTCTATTCTCAAACCATAAAGATAGACTTTTTTAAATGATGAAAGCCACTTCAGAACAGGCAAGGATATGACATGTGTAATTCCAAAGCTTTTGCAGCAGTTGGAAGTTTCTATTGCCATTTACCTAATTCTCTAACACCCTTGCAACCATCTTAAAAGACCTGTATCTTTCCACTTCTAGAAATCTATCTTAATAATCCAAAACCAAAAAGTTTTATTCATGAAGATGTTCCTCACAAAATCAGTCCTACTAACAAAACTCTGCTAAGATCAATGATCTCAAATAGGGAAACGGTTAAATAAGTACTTGACTGATAGGACACAGCATTATGTCACCCTTAATAATAATGTTTATTTCCCTCTTGGAATGCTTTTCCTGCATCCCATAAGTTTTGGTATGTTGTGTTTCTATTTTCACTTGTTTCAAGATATTCTTTGATTTTCCCTTTCCCATTGGCTGTTCAAAGTGTGTTAACTTCTACATATTTGTAAGTTTTCTAGCTTTCCTACTGTAATTGATTTCTTAGTTTCATACTACTGTGGTTGGAGAATATACCTGATATGATTTCAATACTTTAAATATACACAATTATATTTGTCAATTATTCTTCAATAAAGTTAAAAAAAGAAAAATGTTTACTGAGAGTTCTTTAACATAAAAATGATGATGTTATGATGTTAAGTAAAAAAAAAAAGAATACAAATGTACATACAATAAAACAGCTTACTTTAAAAATTTTGCAGAGATATAAAGCTAGGAGAAAATACAGCAAAAATGTCAGTGACTATTGCCGAAGGTAGAAAATAGATAATTTTTAACTTTATTGTTTTTATATTTTCTAAAATTTTTCAGTAATTTTATAACCTCTAAAGTTAAAAAAAATTTTTTTTTAAAGATTTTATTTATTTATTTGTCAGAGAGAGAGAGAGCACAAGCCAGGGTGAGTGGCAGGCACAGGGAGAAGCAGACTCCCTGCTGAGCAAGGAGCCTGCCATGGGACTTGTTCCCAGGACCCTGGGATCATGACCTGAGCTGAAGGCAGACACTTAACCTACTGAGCCACCCAGGCGCCCCCCAAAATAATAATTTTTGAAGTGACAGAAACTGAGATTCCATTTCAGGTGATTTATAATAAATGGGTGTATTCGTTTCCTATTGCTGCTGTAACAAATTACCAACTTAGTAGTTTAAAACAACAAACATTATCTTACAGTTCTGGAGATCAGAAGTCTGAAATAAGTTTTACTAAGCTAAAGATCAGGGTGTCTACATGGCTGCAGTCTTTTCTAAACACGCTATGGAAGAATCTCTCTATAGAGTCTTTCTACGGGAGGTTCCTTGCTTTTTCTAGCTTCTAGAGGCTGCTGACATTCCTTGGCTCAGTGACTCCTTCATTTAAATCCGGCAATCACATCACTCCAACCACTGCTTCCAATGCCACATCTCTCTCTTCTGGCTCCTCTTCCACTTTTAAAGACCCTTGTGATTACACTGGGTCCACCTGGATATTCCAAGATAATCTCTTTATCTTAAAGGCAGTCATTAGCAACCTTAATTCCTTCCTGTGATAGAACCTAACAGAGATTGTGATAGAACCTTCATAGATTTTGGAGGTTATGACATAGACATATTTAGGGGGCCATTATTCTACTTACCACAGGATTTTTAAGAATCTTACAAGCCCTCTTTATAGAATTATATGTCATATATATTATATATAATATAGGTTAATAGAATTATAAACCCAAATTTCAGATTACATCTTAAATTGTCAACTAAATTCTTAAATCTGTACCATTAATATTACAAAGGAAAAAAGTTTCAGCAAAAACAGTCTACATGTTGAAAGTAAGAGTATATTTTTTCATACAGGTCCAGTTTTGTTTAAAAAAAAAAAGACCTCTATAAAGCACTTGACAGAATATAGCATACATCTGTAGGTTATAGATATTTCATATGATATTTCAGTAAATCTACTGAAAGTTATGGTAGATGTTACTTACCCCTTTCAAGAGATAAACAAATGGAAATTCAGAGAGGTTATAGATTTTTCCCAGGTTGTGTGTACTTAGTAAAGCTGCTAGGTTCACAAACTCATGATGATTAGAACCCAGTGTTTATTCCACCATAAAACAAAAATCAACTTCTAAGTCTCCAGAATTACTAATTTAAACAATGAATACGCTATATTCTGTGACTAAATACCTACTTTTTTTTTTTTTACTTTATTCCCTTGGGAACTACAGGTATTAGAAGAAAAATTAATAAATTTGACATATGCACAGATTATATCATCATAAAAGTTCCTGGGTGATCAAATATAAATTAAGCCTCCAGATAGGAAATTATTTCCAATGCAATTTCTTCCACTCATACAAATCTTAGCCAAATGCCAGCCTTTCATAATACTAAAATGGAAATTTCAACAAGATCCCTTAGCTTTAGGGTAAAAAATAAACGTATTTATTCACTGACTTGAATATCACTATTTTCTGCATACCAGTGAGTAAAAATCACCAGAAATGAATACATTTCGTCTATTCATAAATAAACAGCAGACCTTATGCTGTCTCCTCTCATATTCTTGGTGCTGTGCCGTGGAAAATAGAACAGAATGGTTACAACGAATAGGCTTCAACTCCAAGAGCACTGAACTAATAAAAACTGTGAAGCCACTTTGAGGACCAGTCACAAAGAAGGCTGTGACTGCTAGGTAACCCTGCAATGGGCATGGCAGGAGGGCAGAAGGCCCAGGTATGTGCCATGCCAGGTTAGGGCAGAAGCTCTGGAACTGCGCAGATCTGGCTCAAAATTCTGACTCTGCCACAAACCATGACAATGCACTCTCTCTCAGGGTCATGATTTCTTCTGTAAAATGAGGAATAATAACACCTACCTTATAGGTTTACAAGAGGATTAAAGTATATAATTTATATATGCCCTAAGCTGAAGACTTCACACATAGTACGCTGCTCATTAAATGATTATCATTAGTTACGGTAAGAAACAGTAACTTTAAGTGGTCAGAATTTGCCTATTCAAGTTCTCTAACTCAGGAAAATGGATTTCCTTGTGTTTTTTTAAATCTATTTAAACACTCCCGCGCCTAGGTGGTTCAGTTGGTTAAGCAACTGCCTTCAGCTCAGGTCATGATCCCGCAGTCCCAGGATGGAGTCCTGCATCTGGCTCCCTGCTCGGCAGGGAGTCTACTTCTCCCTCTGACCCTCTCCCCTCTTATGCTCTCTCTCTGTCTCTCTCTCTCAAATAAATAAAAAATAAATAAAAATATTAAAAAATAATAATAAATCTATTTAAACCCTCAGTAAAGCTATTTTTCCAAATGAACTAAAAACTAATTTTTGAAAGTGCACAATCATACATTGTTTCTAACTTTCTTGAAAAATAGAATTTTCTTCACCAACTTTATCCTTTTCTTCTAAATAATCATTCATTTCCTTTGGACAGCTTAGATCAGGTTTGTTGTTTGTACCTAATTTTTTAGCTCTAATAAAATGGACTGGACACTGTAGCACAGTATTTTATAAACCGTGAATCACAACCCATTAATGCATCACAAAATCATTAGTGGATTATCAACATTTAAAAAAAATGAAATAGAATAAAGTACAAAACACCAGACCACGTAAAAAAGTAAGTATTGTCCTACAGAACTCTGTTTCTAGGATATGAGGACAGGAATCCCAACATATGTATTTCTGTGACTATGGACAGAATTATACAAAAAGTTTGTAAAACAATTTAAACATCTAAAACACTTGTGTAAAGTATGTGGATACATACTTTAGCAGTCTGTAAACTTTAGAACCTTTACTAGAGGCATAAAAAAAAAAAGAATAAAAAGGGTAAGTGATTTTTCTGTCAGTCAATTATACCAATCTGCCTCCACAAGCAATAATGCTCACTATACCTCCAAGACAAAGTGTGACTTCCTCTCAGGAACCATAAGGCTCACTTTCTCAAAAGAGCTGATCTCAGAGATGAAATCTGAGATAGGCCAAAAAAAAAAAAAAAAAGAGCCAAATACTTTGTCAGGAATCCCCAACATGACACTCCACGTTGGAAGATTCATGGAAGATACATGGCTAAGACTCACCACAGTGACACAGGAACGTTACATAGTAGGATCATAAAGGGAAAAAGACACTGGAGAAATCCACACATAGGTTTCCTTATTCTCTCTTCCTCCCATGACAGGGACACTAGAGCATGCTCCTTTCTCCAACATGTAAAGAGCATGTGCAATGTTCCTACTCTGGGAAGCCTATCAGAAACTCGGTGCCCAGGGGCACCTGGGTGGCTCAGTCGTTAAGCGTCTGCCTTCGGCTCAGGTCATGATCCCAGGGTCCTAGGATCGAGCCCCGCGTCGGGCTCCCTGCTCAGCGGAAAGCCTGCTTCTCCCTCTCCCACTCCCCCTGCTTGTGTTCCCTCTCTCGCCCTGTCTCTCTCTGTCAAATAAAGAAATAAAATCTTTAAAAAAAAAAAAAAAAAGAAACTCGGTGCCCAAAGTTCTTAATTGGGGGGGGGGGGGTTGAGGATGGTTACCCAGACACACCTGCCCAAGTGGTAGGACAAAATTCCAGACTCCAAAAGGAAGGCAGGTGTTCGGCATACACCACACTGTTCACACCAACAGATGAGGCACAGCAAACCACCCTTATCAGATATGGAAGGGTGGGAATACTCTCAAATCCAAGTTCCCCCAGATACCTGCCAAGGGCAAGCCTTGCAAGCAGGCCTTTCTAAACATAGCAATTTCAGGCCTGCTACGTTAACTCTTTTCTTCACAGATACAAATCCTGTCTCAAAGTCCCATCCACACACAAAAGTGGCTATTTCTAATAGCTTTGTATACCTTGTACCATTTAAGGGCTTCTTTTGAAGATGGCGTTATAAATCCAGTAGATCTGAAATACTCCAAAAGACTGAAGACTGAAAATGGCATGGCTTTATCTGTTCTCAATCAATATTTCTTTCTATAATATGTGGTAGTTACATCAAACTTCCATTCATATCTCTTACCCAGAACTCCTCGGGCTGCACTGTCTAGCGTCCCTCCATGTCCAATTTTCAAAGTCTGCTTTTTCCTTTTGGTCCATTCTGGAGAAGGCATTCCAGCTTCTATGAGAGTAATTGGATGAAAAATGGCAATTAGCAAGACAAATGAAGTAAGATCTCCATAAATGTGGGGGGAGGGTGGATGGAGTACTCAAAACAAAGAGGACTGTACAAACTTAACAGATTAAGATAACATTATTAGCAGAGAACAGACTTAAAAATGTACAGATACTCCCTAAATTACAAAGAAACAGTATTCCAAAATTAGTTGTGTAGAAACTAGAATTCATTTTCTAAGGGGAAAAAAATTTTTTTTAAACGTGAGCAAATATCCAGGCTAACCCTGAAAAACCTAGTAAATTCCTAGGAGTAGTGGGCTGTTAGAGAATGATGAAAAGAAGTTAGTTTTTATATAGGCAGCTAGTTTTACAAGTTCTTGATTTCATTTCTAATTCTCTCTTGTGTCCTGGTATTCTTTGCTGGTACCCTCAGCTACCTAATGTCCAGCGTACCTTTCAAAAGGCTACCTCTAAGAACACTAAGTTCCCAAATGATCTATTTTTGTTGCCCTTCTCCCCAAATCAAAACCCTCAATTCCTTCAAGAAGCTAATCTTAACAAAAGGTTATGTGGGAAGTAGGTAACAGTTAAGTTGCCTCTTAAACTCTGAAGCATTTAGATTTAAAAAAAGAAAATGCCAATCTGGGCCATCTCATCTTCCTATTGTAAAGATAAACTGAAATAATGTTATCTGAAAGTGCTTTGGAAACTACATGGCACTCTGACAATAAGTTATTGTTATTACTATCATTATTATTGTTATGTATATCAATACATTGACAGAATATTGGCTACTGAACTTCAAATGAGAAAAGAAAGAAGAGCTGTATGATCTACATCTCCCAAACCCATCAAACTTCCCTTATAACCACTAACATGGAGAAGATAAAAAAAAAGAGCAAAAGAAATGAAAAAGAGAAGACAGAAAAAAGAAGAGAAGGGAAGCAGAGCAATAATGGAGAAGCCAGAATACATGGCCAAAAGGATGTGCTGTGTTGCCTGGCCTGACCACATAATTACAGAACACCATCTGTCTGGAACACAGTCCTCATGCCACTCTCTGATTATATCACCGTGCGTGGAAGGGTCTGCTTCCTCCAAACTATTTTTAAGAATGCAACCATAAGGACAGGCCCAGGCTTCAAACCTTTCACCCTTCACTTGTAATTCATTATTATATTATATTCATTCATTATTTCACTTGAATTTCATATTTCATATAAATTCATTATAATATACTATATATATAGTATATTATAGATGAGAGCATCTATAAATTTATAGAAAACTTTTGGAGAACTCTCTATTTTTCAACTTGACACTCCTTGGATTATGAAGGCCCACAAACCTGCTTCTTCCCTTTGTGTTCAAATTTACCTCTTTCAAGTTCGAATACACACCACCTCTACTATATTGGAATTTGGTTCATCCTATTGGTAACATTTATGGAAGAATATCTCTGAAGGTCTTTTCTGGCTATAAAATTCTGATGTTTTGGGCCTTGAAGGATTCAGAGAGACAAAGAAGAGCAAGGATTTTAGTATAACATGAATCAATATAGGGAAAGGCCAGAAGTGTTAATAGAGGTTATGACCATTAACGGTGGCACAAATCAGTGGGTGTCAAACCTTGCTGGTTTGGGCATCAGAATGTGCTGCCTTGAAATTAGTATCTTTTAGAACCTTCCCAGGTACCCTGGTCTAGCTAACATAAATATAAACTAGACCAAAGCAATATAGAAATGGAGTAATGAGAATATCTGCATCTGAGTGAGAGGTTTCTAGAAGAAAGCCATGCTCAGCAGGGGGAGACTGCTTGAGAGTCTCTCCCTCTCCTTCTGCCTCTTCCCCCTGCTTGTGCTCGCTCTCTCTCTCTCTCTCTCACTCTAAAATAAATAAATCTTAAAAAGAAGGAGGGGGGGGAGGTGGAGAAGAAAAGTTCCTGGACAGTTTTTTAATGGAAAGACAGGCCAGGGCCAAATTCAGGAGAGCCCTGAATATGCAGCAAATAGTTTTATCACCCAAGTCTGCAGAAATTTCTTTGCTATGAGCTCAGTTAAGAGAAAAGACAGGATCTTTCATCTTCCCATCTCTATAGGCTGGATCTGGCTATTGTAGGTGACCAATAAATCTAAGGTTCCTTGATGCCACTGTCCGAAATAATCTACTGGGCTGATGAACTGAGAGATCCTCCAGGCTTTTCTAACATCCTCCCAGTGTACATGAAGAAACAAACAAAAAAGAATGCTCTCAAATTATATTTAGTGTTCCTCAAAATGTGGTCCAAAGGCCACTTAACACCAGAAATCACGTGGAAGAACAGTTTAAAAATAGTTTCCTAAAAAATACCCCAGAACCTCAAAATCACAATCTCCGGGAGGGCAGGGATCGGGAACCTGCATTTGTACAAGGGACTCTAAATAATCCTTATGTCCACTATGTGAAAATCACGGCATTAAAGTCTTGGTTAAATGAGTAATATCTGCATCTCCAAACTATTTTTAAGAATGCAACTTTGGGGGTAGAGAGCCAGTGCTTCCTTCAGGAGGGGTTTATCAACCTGAGCCATCAGATTACAGAATATTAGTTTATCTGCCCAAGGGAAGAGGTTTATTTGTGTAAGTGTGGGGATTTTGTGTTTTGTTTTTTGTTCTTCCCTTGAGAACGACAACGGCCAACTAGGCTACAGGAGTTCACGTCAGGGCAAGTCCAAGCCCGAGATGCCCCAGATTTCTGTTCAGAGCTAATTCAGTGGTCAGCCTCCCTTTCCCCTCCTTTTACTTCTCGAGCCACAAGCGCGCAAAAAAAGCCCATTGGCTCTCTGCGGCTTCCGCTCTCGCGGCGACCGCCTCAGCCTGGTCCCCACCCGGGCTGCAGTACCTGCTAACAGCTTCTCCTTCAGCCGATTCAGCAGCTCGGCTGAAGTGGGCCCTTTGGGCTTGTGCACGGCGAACACGCCGCTCAGGGACAGCAGCTTAGTAGCCAAAGCGGCCTTGGAGACCCTGGCTTCGGATCCGGTTCTGGCAGCGGCCGCGACGGCCGCGGCTGCAGCCGTCGCTGGTGAGGTGGCGGCCGTTGCTGCGGCTGTTCCTGCAGTTTCAGGGACCAGGGCTGTGTCTGTTTCCAAAGATGACGACGATACCACCGCCGCCTCAGCAGCTGCCATACTTTAGTAGCCCGGACCTGTTTTGTATCTGGAGTCACACTCTAATGACGCAACAGGAGTGCGCCCGACGTCCCTCCATCTTTCCCATACTTTGAAGTTGTGCTGGTGGGAGGGGCTGTCGCAAGGGCGTGTGGGAATTGTAGTTCATCGCCCTCTGATGTAGGCTGAGATGGCTGTACCTTCTGAGGGTTCTGATGGAGTAGTTTTTCTCCTGTAATCCTATCTGCCTCCTAGGTCGGGTTAGTTCGATGCTGCAGGTGTAATTTGGAGTTCCGGTCCTAAACTGCTGAACCCAAACAGACTTCGTGTTCGGTGGGCAATCTCTTTACATCCCACTTGCCCACCCCCCTTCCAGAACTAAAGAGCACTCAGCTTCCAAAAATAGAAAACTTAAAATACTGATTTTGCTGCGGTTTGTGAAGAATCATGGCTCCCTCAGTTCACTGCTTCATTCGATTTATCGTGCCCTTGGATTCAGAATTCAGAATTCCAATACACCCAAATACGAGCTCTTTAAAGAAAGGAAACTACCTGTTCACTGCTATATCCCCAGTGTCTTACACATAGTAGGCGTTTAACTAAATATTTTGGAATGAATAAATGGATACGAGTTCTTCAAATTCCCAAAAGAAACTTCTAGGCCAAGCCAATGCTAAATCACTTGAGCTTATTTTGATGCATTCCTGTACACCCCACCCCCTACTACCCCGCTGTAATTCTTAGTAAGTCTTAAGATTTTTAATACTTAAAAGATTTTTAATACTAACTCTTCTGTGGATTGCATCCCTTAGTAACCCATTGCTTAGCTATCAAAAGGCATTACTGCAATTCATGAAATTAAACTTTACTTTCGATTTGAGACTTTGTCTCTGGAAGTTATTTATACCCCCATCAAAATTCAGGAACATGGTTCTGATCCTGGCACAAGGCAGAGTGAGAAAAAGTCTTCATTTTACTTCTGCTTCAGATACATTAAATGGTATTATGAGTATTGTGGGACAGATAAAGTTTGTCTTCATTGTTTCCCCAAGTTTCCTTACAGCCACCCTTTCTCTTCATCATCCTCTTGCAACTTAAAGCCTACTATACTAATAATGTCTCTTTGCTGCTCAAAATTCCCATTATGGAACTTTCCCCATTTTTTCAACAAATACACCAAAGAACAATGTTTCAAATATAGTATTTATTTCTATATTTTCATCCTTCCCCATTTTAGTCAGATCGCCAGACTCTCATTAAATCTTTAGGGTACACAACAGTGTAAATGTACTTAATGCCAGAGAAATGTACACTTAAAAATGGTTACAATGGAAAATTTTATGTTATGTACATTATACTACAAAAAGAAAAGCCAAAAAAATCTTTGGGGAGTTTTTGCAAGGTGGAAAGCTGAATTGGAAATGGAAGTCACTTAATGTTATAGTCTATTCTAAAAGTCTAAGCTAAATAAAAACATTATACATGGGGGTGTGTTGAAAGTCAGAAGAGAATAGAATTATTTTGAGAATAAAGTGAGAGAAAGTGAATGATTTGCAAGTCCCATGATTACCTGAGCGGATACTTGAGCCTGCTTCAAGATTTTTCCTTTCAGGTGCCTGGGTGGCTCAGATGGTCAAGTGTCTGCCTTTGGCTCAGGTCATGATTCCAGGGTCCTGGGATCGAGTCCTGCATCAGGCTCCTTGCACAGCAGGGAGTCTGCTTCTCCCTCTCCCTCTTCCTCTCTCCCTGCTTGTTCTCTCTCTGTCTCTCCCGCAAATGAATAAGTTAAAGAAAAAAAAAAAGATTTTTCCTTTCCCAGGAAGGTGCCACAACTTCAGAAGGGAGGACTGCACCCTGCGAAGCAAAGCATCCCTTAGCCTCAGCACAGATTTCTGTGCTTTCCTCTTGGTGAGAAGCAGAGAGCCAGGGACTTTAAGAGAAAGTTTAAAGCAGGATTGAACAATAGCGACTAGGAGATTAGAGAGCCTCTTCCCAAGGGGTCTAGACATCAGTAAGCTTCCCCAATTCTTTTGTGACTCCAGGGTGGAGAGAGTGGTGGGAGAACAGAAATAGAGGTGAAATATAATGCTTCCATTTGAATTTTCTACAATGCCAGTGCAGAATCAGAGTTAATTTGATTAAAAGAAAACAGAAGAGCTCTGGACGTCATATGGAAGTGAAAAAAAATCACTAAATTCTACACCTGAAACCAATTTTACCATATATGTTAACTAACTGGATATAAATAAAAACTTGGAAAAAAAACCAGAAAAATGGATATTTCTTGCACATTTTATTTCTGGAATGCTAGGGAACAGAAAAATTAATTCTACTCTGCTATCAAATCTGTACTCTTGGCATCAGAAGCATCAAGCTCTAATTTTCTGAGGTAACACATCTCCCACATCGATCAAGCCTTGAATTTACAAGTTATCTTACTTAATATGTCTACGAGTTAGGATTCTTTGGTTTGGAGTGACAGAAACTGATCTAGTTTCAAATGTATCAGAAGGATTTTAGAAAAAGGATTTATCAGAAGTATACTGGAATGTTATGCAGAACCTGAAAAGTCCTCTCTCAGGTTCTCTCTCTCCACCCACACCCTCTTTTTCTGCTACTCTCTTGTGTCTTCGTGCTTCTCTTTTGCTTCTAACGGGCTTTTTTTTCCTACTCCTCATTCCACAGCCTGGGTTTAAACTATCCTGTTTTGATCTAACTCCAAAAATATCCTGGATGAAGTCCGTCTTGGACAACTACGGAACATAGTGCTTCTCTCACTTTGTCCCTTCATCTTTTTTCACTTTCCTGCTTGATTTTTCTCCATAGCACGTTTTATGTGACATACCAAATATTTACTTATTTCGTTTAATGTCTTATTTCCTCCATCAGAACGTAAGCTCCATGAGGAATTTTTTGTATATTTTATTCATGGCTATGTCTCCAGGGCCTGGAAGAGTGTCACACATAGCACTCAATAAATAGTTGTTGAATAACTGAATGAGTAAACATGGCAGCTCCAGCAGAAACCATGTAAATACAGGAAAGTTAGTGACAGTTTCCAGAAAAGTAGAGTGCCGAATACATAAAATAACAGATGTATATTCCAAGTGCAGCCTCAATGCTTTTATCTCCATTTTTGTGTCTGTATGGAACTGATGCAAAGAGAAAATATGATCACTTCATGCTATATTATAAAGCCCCAACTTTCTAGACCAGCTTCCATGCTGCCCTCAACTACCCAGTCATCTCCAAGGGTTGTTAATTAATGAGACCTAAAAGTTGATAATACTCTCAGGTTTGATTCCAAATCTGCTACTTGTTCTACCATGGTTGCATTCTTGGGGCACTTCTTTGATCCTTGCCATAGGCATGTATGCCTGGGAAAGCTGTTCTTTACAAAGGCTTCTCCAATTGTCGTTCACTTATATAGCTTCCTATAGCCAGTAGAAGCATAGAAAATAGTGCTTGGGTGTGCCTGGGTGGCTCAGTCAGTTAGGCATCTGCCTTCGTTTCAGGTCATGATCTTGGGGTCCTGGGATGAACCCTGCTCTGGACTCCCTGCTCAGCGGGGAGTCTGCTTCTCCCTCTCCCTCTGCCTCTGCCCCACACTCATGCCCTCTCTCTCTCTCTCAAATAAATAAATAGAATCTTTAAAAAAAAAAGAAAATAGTGCTTGATGAGAACTTCTAGACCATATACTGTAAGATCCTCATATTAAAACTGAAGCACAAAAGGGTGCTCCTGATAACCGAGAAGAGAGAGCTGGAGAGCTGGCCTTGAGAAAGGCATATTTTTTTAAAAGTTCAGGGAACAGATGGGCATGTTTCATTACCTGAAATTTGAGAGAGCTGAAAAACTCGCCCCCTCCCCCAAAAATCTTCTGTCTCTGCCGTTTCAAATTATCCTAATAGAGAAGGAAATTATCCTCATAGAGAAGGCAATTAAAGAAGCCAGTGGTTGCATAAGAACCTCTGCTGTGAACCAAGTTATTTAAAGGAAATACATTTGTGTTTCTTTAGAGTTAGACTTCTTTAACAAAGTTTTATTTTCTAAGGTATAAATATTTTTAATGTTTTAATTTTGATAGTAAGTTTCATAATTAAGGAAAAATGGTGGCAATAATGTATAATTTTTAATTAAGCAAAGAATTTTTTTTAAAAGAAGGGGTAGATAACATCACAAACATGTAGGAAGGAGTAAGGCCAGAGAAGTTAAAATCTAAAAGATCTGGGAATAAGAAAAAAAAAGAAAAAATTCCAGAGACATTAAAAGAAAACAAAAAGGAAATTTTAAAGAAGATCAAGAAAGATCAATTTACTGCTTGAGGCCAATCAGATGACAAAGCTCAAGCAAAGCTCCTATTTTGCCTGACTTCTCCATCAAGGAGATGATTTGGGGATGAAAATGGGAAAAGTCAGCCACTGATAAGAGGAGAATTAAGTCCATGAGCGGGAAGAGTTTGGAAGAAGACATTTCTGCAATAGTTGAGGTTAGATCTCCTAGCCCAGAAATGCTATCTTGGGGCCAGGGGAGAGGGAAGATATGAGAACTTGCAAAAGAGATTGCTTAAGAGAACATATGTGTGTGTGTGTGTGTGTGTGTGTGTGTGTGTGTGTGTGTCATGTTATGTGCTGGCATTTTACATTTTCCTGGAATTTCTGTAGTAACTCTCAAGTAATGCTTGTGGAGAAAATAAAATATAGGCTGGGTCCTGGAACTTCGCTACAACGTAGCTACTATAATTGTTATCATCCCCATTGGCGGGTGAGAAAATGAAATTAAATGAGGTTAGAGCATTTCACCAAGGATATATAGTTAGCAGAGCATAAACGGTTGTGTGGGCATCCCTAAGACCAACCTCAGAATAGACGCTCTAGAAGGACTCATAGAATTCAAGAAAGCTATAATATTTATGGTCACCACTTACTATAGTGAAAGGATACAGATTAAAATCAACAAAAGTAAAAGGCACTTAAGATGAAAGCACCAGGAGAAACCAGGCACAAGCTTCCAGTTATCATCTCCTAGTGAGGTCACAAGGGCAGTACTTAAATCTCCAAGTAATAAAATGTGACAAC